AGCAACATCAAACTTGCTCTTACTATACAGTAGAGGATTTGAACCGGGAAAAGAAGCATACGACACACGCTCTTCAGCTCCATTTCGGAACGTGCTCACGGATAGTCTGTAAGTATGTTTACGCTGCAAGTTTACGTGCACCGCAGATATCCGCCAACAGTGAACTGAGTGCACAGACAGCGACTTCTGAGCTCCTGCAACTTTACCCGCATGCAAACAATATCATCTGCACTGTTGCATAACTAATCCACAGGCGAGAGAATATTTTTAAAAAAACAGAACAGTGTGACTTGAAGAGCTCTGACAGTCTACATGCATCACGCTCTCGAAATCAGTGAGTGATCAGTCATTGCGCCTGTCAACTACCGTCGAGGAGTGCAAACGTGAAACACAAGTCCAGGCGACGCTCCGTAGTGCGCGCTACTCTGTGCTTTGGTGTTGCGTTCCTGTTCTGTCCTGTCCTGTCCTGCCTTATATATTACCGCCTCTGCCCTGGTTCGGAACTTCCACTAGTGAAAGGAACTGGATGAACCTAAATAGGAGGTTTGTAAGGGCATTAATCCTGATTGACATGTTAAGTAGGGATGAATTTTGCTCCAGTGCCCGTCTGCCCTGAGTGGCTGCGCACTTGCCTCTTCCACACCCCTTCATGTGGCTACAACAGCGTTTCTCAACATGTGGTCTAGGTCCTCACAGTGGTCGCCGAGCAGCGAGGGTCCCAGCTGGGACCCCAAACTCTCACTTCACAGTTTCACTGATCCGAACTTCACCTCGTTACATAACGCTGGCCACAGAAGAACAATGATGTTGCAATCACAGGTCTCACTGACTGTTGCGAGTCAGTACAAAATATTCTTATATAATAGCGCCAGATGAATGACTGCCATGTCAACAATGCCTAATGCCACTTCTATTAAATTAATTAAATGAAACAAATAAGAGAGGAAACAAAGAATCAGCTGAGCACCAAACAAACACATAGCTGATAAAGTCCCTAACACATTTGTAACCGCAATAAAAAAAATCAGGTCTGGATTGTGTCAAAACCTAAAGTCATGTATTTCCTCCACTTTAATGTGCTAGGTTTATTTTTTTTAAAAAGTGAACATGTTATTTGATTGGACAGTGTGTTTGTAGATTTGTAATGGTTTCCAACTGTTGGTATAAAGCGCCACTAGTTGTTTGAACCCAGTCTGTTGTGGTAACAGTATTTTTGAAGCACGCTATATTTTTTCTGCATGTGACAATGCAGTTTGGGAAATAGGTCAGCCCGGTCTCAGAAGCTTGGAAGGATGACAACAAGAAAACCGCATGAATACCTCCTAAACAAATCTTGTGAATTCACGAGCCTCAGACAAGATTCCAGTCTGTGATGTTTGGCCCTGGCACTGTGATTTTTACTGGGCAATGCTGAATACAAGACTTTTTCAGCAACTGGGATGGGTTTAGCCTCACAATGGTTGCTTTGTGCAAGGCTCAGTTACTTAGGGAAGACAGAGAGGCTCTCGGGGGCTGCTAAAAACTCCAAGACAACACGACTCCAGATGCTGTCTTTATTTAGGAAATTTCTGAGGTTTGCAAAATGCAGATTCAAAGTCGAGAGCCCACTGGAGCTTATGCCAAAGCATATTCCACTGAAGAGATGTCAAATACAGGTCAGTGAATTTGCTAAAACATCATAGTACACATTGCAGTCACTGGCAAATATGTTTAAGCTGCCCACAGAATGCCACAGTGTAAACAGACTGTTTTTCAGAGTATCCTGTTTATTTATACTCATGCTATCACTGCCATCTACAGATCAACAATGAAAGTTCAGATAAGGGTGTTTTCAGTCAGCCTTCATGCATCTTTAAGTATTTTCTTCCCTTAGACGCTAGACAATAAATTCGCTTCTCATTGCCACACACAGGCATGAGCAACAGAGCTCATGTAGGAGCCAATATGTTCAAATAAACCTGAAAACACATGCACACACACACACACACACACACACACACACACACACACACACACACACA